TAGCGCGCGCAGCTAGTCGCGGCACGGCTGGACGCTCCGATTTAGCTATTTTGGGCTCCCTGGACATGATTCCCGCTGGGCGGGCGCTAAGTTATCTTGTTTATCTGGGCTCTATCTCCAGCAAGTACAGAGTTAGTCAAGCTGATGGAGTGGGATCTGTTCAGAATTTAACGCGCTTTTCAATGGTTCTAGTTTCATGAAGAAAAAATAAAGTTTGCAAGACTTGATGCCTTTTGAAGTTGGGCTTTTCCTTTTCTCGCTAGCTCATCAACCAAGAATGATAGAGAAAAACTAAGAATGGGAACAGAAAGCTTAAGATAAGAAGATATAATTTACAAAAAGAAATTTCAAAAATCTTATTTCTAAAAAGAACGGCGAGCGCGTGAAGTTTGGCTCAGCGCTGCTCGCCCAGGTCCCTTAAGGTGTAAGGAAGTCGGGAGAAAAAATCTGCCGACGTCATAATTGGGTCGTTTCCAGGCTTATGGAAGATTTTAAAGTCAAATTGCATCAAATAATTATGGACATTTGTCAATTTAATATCAAGTCTTGACTGGTGTTGTTCTCTTAACAAATACAATCAATAGATCAATGTAGATCAATGACTTGTGGTCAACATATGCATCGAACTCTGCACCGATAAGGTAGAATTCAAAGTGCTTGATTGCCCATGTTAAAGCGAAAAGTTCTTTAATTCTCATTGGTCTTTTGAGGTGGGGTCCTTGAAGAGCCTTCGAAAAATAACCAATGATTTTAAAGTCTTCCTTTTGATATTGATACAATGTTGCGCCGACAGTTTTCTCTGAACTGTCAGTCGTTAGTAAGAGTTTTGATCCTTATTGGAAATGCGGTAAGGTTGGCTCCTTAAGCAATTCTTCGTTCATCTTTGGAAACGCTTTTTGATGTTCATCTGTCCAAAAGTAGTCAACTTTGTGACTTGTTAGGTATTATAGAGGTGCTAGGATAGCAAGATATCTTTTTAGCTCATTTCTGTTTCTTGGCGGCTCAAGCTTTTTAATAACCTCTTGGTATTTATGGGTAGGCGCTGGCTGAAATTTTATGGCCTTAAGAGTCGGTTTCGCTCATACATAGATTGCATTTCTTTGCAGACAGGAGAAGACCATAATCGTAGCAAGTTTTGAAAATAAACTCAAGTGTCTTAAGGTGGTCTTCAAAGGAAGAATCAATGCAAATCGAATCATCAAAATAGATTATAATTAGGCTTCCCGCACCTTTTTCTATTTTCCAGGTTCTCTGGCCGAATCTAACCAAACTTGCTGGAAATATGCATCAAGACAAGCTATGAAAAACTGCACTAGCCGATTTTTCGAAATGAGTCTCTTTGACACCTTTTTTGGGTGTTTTTTGACGAGGAAAAAAGCACAAAAGTGATTAGAAGCTGATTAGAAAAGCCTTCCCACCTGGTAAGACGTTCGAGAGTAGCCTTGCAGGAGGGTTGCAATTAGTCTGGTCCCCGAGCCAGAATTCGACCAAAATCTGAATTCTGGTCCCCCGAACCAGAATTCGTTCAAGAGTTTAATTCTGGTCCCCCGAACCAGAATTCGCCTTATTTTCTCAAGTCTGGCACCAGGGGCCAGAATTCAGCTCTTGATTCGAATTCTGGTCTTTGCGATTTGCTGATGCTGGACAAAGATGTTAACTACAGTTCAGATAAATGATCTTTATTGTTTTTTTTGTTTTTTTATGCTTCATAAAATATAAAATAAATGTTAAAAGTAGAAAAATAGAAAAGGTAGAAAGATTTTAAAGGTCAGATTTCTGGAAGGCATTACCGAGAATTTCAAAAATTTCGGGATAGTCAAAGGATGATTGAGCCTGATCATGGACCAATTTAAGGAGCCTCTGAGTTGATTTCGCGGATAATTCCGTAGATCGAGATTGAGGACGAGCCTTTTCTCTGCGATCAAATCAATAAGAAACGCCAAGTTTTTCTCGAACATCATAACCTTTATAAGCTGAATCCTATCAACCACTCTTTTGTTGGAGCTCTTTCGGAATAGATCTCTAAATTCACGATTAGATCGCTCCAAACTACTGTATTGGATGTGCGATCCACAAAGAGTCTTTTGGCATCAACGAGTTCTTGATACCAAGAAAGAGATCCTGCATGAGATCTGAACCGGTTCTCGAGTGTTTCGAGTTTTTTATCGAGTACAAGTTTCATGGTTAGATTTTCTGCGTCGATCAATTTCATGTGGTCTTTATCAATTTTTGTATATTCAAAGAATACACAATCCTTGGATTTAGCTAGGTCATTTCTCAACCATTCAATAAAATTTACTGATATGGTATCAGGAAGAAGGGGAAGAAGGTGAATAACGAAGAAATACCGCAAAAGTAAACCTGAGGATTAAAGTTCCTTTTTGAATTTCGCAAAATCCTTCTTTCTGTTTTGAACATAATGAAAATAGCAAAACTTGCCAAATTTTTCATTGAAAAACACGTTCTCAGCTGCTCCTTTAAGCCCACATTCTTGATCAGTAACTAAGCGAGATGCGCTTAATTCTTGACCCGTGACATCCTTAAAAATAACCTTTAATTTTTTAAATAACTCTTGATAATCCTCCATCTTCTTTCCAGTATGTAAACAGGCAAAGAGCAATGTATTGAGAGTGACACCAAACTTGTTCTTGAGACGTCCTTGAAGGAAGAGGCATTGCTCAAATTTGCCCTTCCAAAGACTCCATAAAGATCCATCTAGACAAACTTATTTAATCATGGACAAATTATAATTCAGCTAATTATCAATTACAGACTGCCGAAGAAGAAATGCGTTCAAATTGGAACAATGGACTACTGCGGACATTTGATGAAGCAATGCAACAACATTCAGTTTGAAAAGGTAATTATACTGCTTTTATCATATATCATTCAAAAATGTACCTATCAGAAGCGCTTCCAAGTCAGTGCACACCTCAAGGTTCTCTTCTGTATAAAAAATAAGGGTATCATCATCCAATTTTCGAAGAACAAGGGTGTCCCCATACAGTTTTTTATGGAATTTGTGGACATCAAATTTGTGGACATTTTTCAGATTATAAGGGGTTTTCTTGGGACATATTCAAAAAAAGAGGGTATCAACTTTGTGGACATTTTTTCTCAATTGATATCTTTTACTTCTAAATTTATGGTCTTACTTTCGTAATTGAAGCCAATTTTATTTGCAAAGAACTGTTTTTCGTCAAAAATCTTAATTTTTGTTTAGATTTACGTCTTTAGATTCAATCTTGTATTCTTTTTCTCATTATTTTTTGAGAAAAATCATCAAATTTTCTTTCTAGGAAAAAATTTAAACAAGTTCGTTGGGAAATTTTTTTCGAGGCTCTTTATCAAATTTGTGGACATTTTTCAGAAAACTAGGGGACAAAAAATGTCCACAAATTCCATAAATAACTGTATTTAGCTTGTTCTTCAGTAAATTCATACGAGGCAATTGTTTCGATTTCTTCAGTTTTTGGCTTGAGACTGTCTTTGAAAACACTATATACAAAATTATTAATGCAAAGATTAAGGGACCTGGCCAAGCAGCGCGCGCCTGAACTTCAGGCGCAAGAAGTATCTGATAAAAATACGATATTTCAAAAATTTTTTGGAAAGGATATCTACAGTCTCTCAGCTTTCTTCTCATGTTCTTTATTTTTCACTAGCATAGATAAAAGACTCATAAATTAAGAAAAAGAGAAGTAAAACTTTAAACTGCATCAGTTTCTTTACTAAGAACAATCAGATCACGATAATCATATCATTGAAAAGCCCATTCAATTCTCCACAAATCTTATAGAGTCTATAGTATAGAGCTATAGTAGCTTAGTCTAGGGTTCCGCACGATTGGAGGACCTTATTTTTCAAAATCCAAATCCTTATTGTATTAAGAATTGACTTTTTATAAAGTTTAGGTTTTCGAATACGGCGAAAAAATGATGATATTAATATTCCGATTCACCATCGGAGTCGCCGATTTCTCTCGGTTTTTCATACTTCTAGTGGCAGCACGAACTTCGCGTTGCCAAATTATGATAGCGATAAAATAAAAAATCGTTTTTCTTTTTGAAAGTTTCTCTAAAAATTCACCGTTTTCTTGTGCTGGTAGTTTTAATTCTAGCAGTTTGTTATGAATCGCCGTGAGAAAGCTAGGTGCGCTCTGATTGGTTAAAAACGAAGCAGCCTCTGGAGGCCCTCTTATAACGGAAGAATGATTATTCTTATGAAACCAGAAAGAACTTATTAGAATAATTAAAAAATCCAAAAACTGCCTCAAAATTCAACCCCTCACTTTGGTCTAATGCCCCTCTCAAAGTGCAAATCGACCTGCAGAAGTATCTATCCACCAAGTTTATCGCCAGTGACTGTCCAACTGTGCAAAAACATTCGTCGCGTTTCTTAACTTATCCGATCATGCTGATTCTACCAAAAATAAAGATTAGCGTCTATACTTTTAGATAAACGAAAAGATTTTGAATCCCAAAGCCCAAAAAAGTAGATACGATTTGAAAATGACCTAAAATGGCCATTTTTCAAAATGTTAATCACTTTGACGGCCTCTAATGCATAAGCGAATGTTTTGCTGGCAAGCTGATTCTACCAGAATTTGCTCCTTTCGAAGCGGGCTTTCTAATGCGCCCAAAACCAGCTACGTAAGCTCAAAAAAGTAGATAGAGGTCAAAGTTGGTGAGATCGGGGGATCCCTTAAATAGGGGGACTAGGGGCGAAAAATGATAGCTGTCTCTTCTTTTAGAAACTCTACTCTCTTTCAAATAAAGTTTCTGTTCTTGCGCTTGATGTGCTGTCTCAGTCTTTTCTTGACGTAGAAGTTCTAGAAATTAAAAAGCATTTTTTTTCTCGAAAACTTAATTTTTTTTCTAGATTACAATTTCAGCCTAACTTTTTAACGCAATAAAATTCATTCGAATTTTTGAATCATTGAGCGAGTAATATTTCTCAATTTTATCGTCAAGATGTTTTCTTTCAACAAGCGATCTTTTATGAAGTTCCTTCGCGCACCGCTTATTATTAAGCATTCCAACACGAAAGTCCGATTCACCGGCTTTTCAAGAGAATACCTCGAAACTATCTTAGAGAATTCCGAAGAATGGGAGAAAATTGCAAAGAAACATTCGAGAAACACTTCTGGATTTTATTCAGCGATAATTCCCTATCTCGAAGGTATGATACATCTAAGTTATTTTTTCTATCCTCCTTCATAGACATCATCACAAACCAACCAGAACTTGTCTTTGACAATTGCTTGAAAGGAATGAAATTGACAAAGAAAAAAAATCAGGTTCGTCGAGACCTTGAGCACTGGTTTCGAATCGAAAACGAGTTTTTTTCGAAGGAAGATTGCGTTACTTTTGCGGCGAAAGATCTTGGAACCCGATCGACTGGTCTGTCGCAAATATTGAAAACGACTGAAATCAACGAAGACAACAACGACAAAATGAACGAGGTGTTCATTGAAGATTCTGGTGAGCTTGAGGAAAAATGGATGCCTGAATCAGAAGAAATAATCCAAGAAGATGAAGTTGTCGACAAAATCCAGGAAGCAAATGATGAGCCGGAACTGGTTAAAGATAAATCGCCGATCACCGATATTTTTCTTCGCAGCGGGAAACTTCCTAGTAACGGAAAAGGTGGTGATAACAGAACTTGGAGTCCCAAATTTATCAACTTGTCGCTGGAAATGCTTATTAAAGGAGAAACAGCAAGTAGCATCCACAATTTCTTTAAAACGACAGCAAAGTATTATCCCGAGCTTCTGGGCGAAGAAAAAAGAGTTCCATCGCCTGACTGGTTTGAGCGACTTCGTGATTCATTGAAGTATTTGAACGAAGAGCACACCAAAGATGTCATTCTTAAAGGCAAACGATTCCACCTCGCAAGTGACGGCGCAGCCATGTTAGATGCATCCAAAACGATTTCAGTCGGGCTGATAGACGAGTCTGGCAAGCTTCATCTCATCGGAACCGAGCGTTCGATCGGAGGTACAAGTCAAATAATTGCCGACCAAATGATTGCGATCATAAACAAGACCAGTTTGGGACGAGTCATCGGCGAGAAGATTGATCTCCTTATGTCTGACCAGCAGTCAGCTCAAATCAACGCAAACGCAATCGTTGCAGAAAAACTGACGCGGGAAATCAACAAGGAAGCACCTCCATCACTCTTTTGTGCGATGCACTGCGTTTCGAACTGCGACAAGAACAGCTGTTCTGCGTTAAAAGAGGTCAATGAAGAAGCATTTACCTTACTGGAACTTGTGAAGAGTGTCTTCGGAAAACCAGAAAAATTTGGGTACGTCCAACAGGATGGTCGCCGATCGCTTCAGCTGCTTCTTAAATACGATTTGGAGAGCACCAGAATAAAAGGTTCCGGGACTGGCCAAACAAAGAATTTCTCTCACGATCTAGGTAACTTCCTTCGAATGATTTTTCTCAATTAATGTTAATAGGCAAGCGCTTCGGTAATGACTGTCGCAACTCGGGCGCTCTTGTGAGACATTTTCCGACGGTGATGAACGCGACAAAGCACATGATGACAAGAAGTTTTGAGGACAGCAAGTTTCACCAGATCCACAAACTTTGCTCCGGTCGAGATAATGGGGTTTTGCTCGACGCTGCAACATTGTTCCTGAACTACTGCGCGAACATCAATCATTTCCACAAGAAGATCTCAAAGGTGAACAACGAAGCTCTGTCTTTCCTGGGATTGAAAGACTTGTTCCAGTCAGTGATTCAGCGAATGAAGACGATTGTTGATTCAAACGAGCCGTATTCGTGTCTTTTGGAGAAGGCGGCTCTGATGTCTTCATCCGAGGAATCTAAAAAAACCGTGGAACTGATTGAAGAAAGATTCCAGAAGGTTTCCGCAACAAGAATCAAGCGACTGAACACTGTTGCTGTTGCTGTTGTCGGTGGAAGTCTGAAGAAATACATGAAGGATTTCGGGCTTCTAAAGGATTTGAACTTGCCAGACGACAGAAAAATTAGTTGCTCGAACAGAGCAGTCGGTAATTTTCTTTTGAATAAAGCATATCTGAATTTCAATTAAGAATCGTCCTTCGCCACTCTCAAGGGATTTGAGAAATCAATCCAAAATCTATGTCACGAAAAGATGTACGAAAACGGGCGAGCCAAATTCAACAAGCTGAATGAATGGCTGGATGATCTTAAGCCGCACGAAGCAGAATCGAAGCTGATGGCGGCTTTTAGAAGCCAGAAAACTCAGCGCGAAGAGAGAAAAAGAAGAAGCCTACAGGAAGACCAACGCCAGCTAGCGCTCATACCGCGAAAATTTAAAAAATCTGTCATTGTTCCACAGTAAATTTAAAATGTAAATTCTGAAAATCACTATGTCGTTATAACTTCTCTTTTTTCTTTCACTCAATTTCGCAGGGTCCCGCAATTTTTCCACTTTTGAGAGTCGATAGAATTAGACGAATAAGGGCTCTATAGAAAGCTTAAATTTGGCCGCTTTTTCAAAAATAAAAATTTTCCATCAGAATTGGGCCCAAATGATGCTATTTCTGATCATTTTTCGCTTTTTTAAAGTGTCTATCATTTATAATGACTAAATTCTAATAACCAGATAATATATAAAGCAAAAAATATTTCGAAAATAATAAATAATAAGCATATCATAAATAGGCAGAATATAAACAAGTAAAAATTTCAAGAAAATTCATTAATAATCTGAGAATCCCATTTTTGAAGATTTCGAAACTTTGCTATTTTCAAAATGAGCCCTCATCCTTTAAAAACCTTTAAAAAACCGACCAAAAAAAAAGTAGTTCGAAGTCAAAGTTGACGAAATCGGGGGGATTGATTAAAATCCAAAAAATGTCCGGAAACTTTGACTCCGGAAATTTCGAGTCGAAACTCGGTAAACGGGACCACCCCCCAAGTAGCTGTTGGCTGAGTGGTGAGCGCAGTCCTTCAAAAAGGATTGGCGGACGGGCGTGAGCTCGAATCTCAAAAAGAATTTTTCTTTTTCGAGGCCCATCCGCGTTTTCCATGTTGAAGCTAGAAAGCCAAACATGGAAAAGGGGGTGCGTTCGAGCTGGCTTCGAGCTCGCCGCCTCCTCTTTGCAAAGAGAAGCGCTCACCACTCAGCCAACTCCAGGGCGACGGTGGTTAGCATTACCCGATTTATATTCCCGCGACGAGCGCCAGCCAATCAGCGCGCAGCAGGCCTCTTTGGCAAAATTTACTTTGAAGCCCTAAAAAGGGCTGAAGGGGGGATTTTTGGGGAAAACAGAGGCCAGGAATGAGTTCCTTGGCATATTTTTGGTGGAATCTCCAAATTTTATTAAAAAATAAATTTTTGGTCCAATCGTGCGGAACCCTAGCTTAGTCTCGATAGCTTAGTCTATAATATAGACTAAGCATTTGCGAATTGTTGTATTTTGGTTCGTGCGCGCTGATAAGTCCGGGAATGTAGCGCAATCACGGCGGGAATCTCCCGCATTTGCACTATTTTGGCTCGATCGAGGCTCATAATCGCACCACATGCGCCTCCGTGCGCTGAGTTCTATAACTTATCAGCGCGCACGAACCAAAAAACAACAATTCGCAAATGCTAAGTTTAAAAGATTTATAGAGAATTGAATGGGCTTTTCAATGATATGATTTTCGTGATCTGATTGTTCTTAGTAAAGAAACTGATGCAGTTTAAAGTTTTACTTCTCTTTTTCTAAATTTGTGAGTCTTTAATCTATGCTAGTGAAAAATAAAGAACACGAGAAGAAAGCTGAGAGACAGTAGATATCCTTCCCAAAAAATTTTTGAAATATCTTATTTTTATCAGATACTGCTTGCGCCTGAAGTTCAGGCGCGCGCTGCTCGGCCAGGTCCCTTAAGTAAGCGGTAACTGTGATAAATGAATGATAAATGATAAAAACAGTAAAAGTACCGGATCAATGAATCAAACTTGTTACGGCTTGGGAAATTGTAACGAACTTCAGAGAAGGAAAAGCCATAATCGTAGATGAGAATCTTGAGGAGCTTTGACCGAATGTCCTGACAAGTAGCATTTTCGAGGGACTTTCCACTGGCATAAAGAAAATCGCGAATTGCATCGATAATTTTTGCTTTGATTTCAGTTTCTTCTTCTTCATTTCCATCTACAGTACATGAATGGACATTTGAAGCACCAATTATCGTGTAATTCGCAGTATTTTCCATTCCCTCAGCACCTCGAATAATACTACACGTATTTCGCTTTTTAGTCTTTTCCGTGCCATCAGGCAATCTTTTGATTGTTGTTGTTGTTTTAGTCTCAGAAATTTGAGGTGAAAGCTTAAAATATTAATCATGAGATTAAAGAGCGAGAGTCAGGAAGAAATCAACGAAGAAAACAACTTACAAGCAATTTCAAGGTACGCTTACAACGAGAATCCTCACATTGAAAAGTATAATATTGACCAGACGGAGAACCAGTAGTAAAGCGATAATCTGTTCCTTCATCAGAGATCACTAAGGCAGGAAACCCAGCTTTTCTTGTAGTTGTTATGAATCGGATAAATACGTTCTCTAGCTGTCGATAGCTTGACATTTTAGATTAAACTCTATGACTGAAATCAAAACATAAAATATTTTTATCTAGAATCGTCAAATCGTCGAAGAAGAAAAAATGCGTTCAAATTGCAACAATGGACTACTGTGGACATCTGATGAAGCTGGAACGAAGAAGAAAGGAAATATGAAGATTATCGTGAGCCAGAATTCGTAGTCAGATGGCAATTCTGGTCCTTGGGGCCAGACTAGAAGTAAATAGGCGAATTCTGGTTCGGGGGACCAGAATTAAACTCTGGAACGAATTCTGGCTCGGTGGACCAGAATTCAGATTTTGGTCGAATTCTGGCACGTGGGACCAGACTAATTGCATTCTTCCGCCTTGGAAGAAAGCTTAGGGTCCATTCTATCGACACACCAAAAATTGGTTTTGCACCTCAACGTTATCAGTAGTATCTGATGCCTCAAAGTTGACTGAAATCGTCAGATACGAAAATTCAAGATTTTCAACTTTTGATTAACGCGAGCTATTATGACGTTCTATAGCTCAAATTGAAGCTTATGAACTAACTAAGCTTATGAACTGAAGCAACTATTAAAGCGCTGCTTTCGTTCAGTGTTAGCATCGCCAAACGATCCAATAATTGGTTTAAAATTTGTTTGGGACGCAATTATTTGTAGTGATGATTGAAATAGTTTGAGTGATTTACTCTCCTCTTCTATCTCGATAATTGCTGAGATTTTAAACAATGAGCATGAAAAGTCCGGTGTCGTTGTTTTGATTATCTGATTGTTAATGATTACATATTTTTGAGCGCATCAAGACCAAGAATAATGGGGACAGATATTTTTTCAGTAACGAGTGGTCTTATTATTAGTTTCAATTGTCCAGATCTAGACTATGCGGTCATAACAATCTCGCTACAGAAAATGCGTGTTCGAATCGAGTCATTGTTTGCGCAAGTGAGTCTTTTATTTGATTCAGCTGTCTTATTTATAAATGGTAAGTCAGATCTTATACAAGTTCTTGAACAGCCAGTGTCTATCATGGCAGTGTAGAGTCTAGTGTAGACAAGATCATTGATAGTTATTTTTACAAATCTGAGAAAAATAGGTGCTGATGAAAGATTTGGACAAGTGAATATTTGTTGGCTATCCTTCCCAAGGAGTCAAAGGGATTTCACGTAGTCAACAACTCGTTTCAGCCCCGTCCCTTGATTTTCAATTTTGAGGGGCTTGACAAAGGCTGGGAGAAGCCTGAGTTGATCATTCTTAGTTGCGTCCCTAACCCCGTATTAATAGTAATTCTACCTCTATCAAACTATCACCTACTACTCAAATACTTACTATCATATATCTCTATTTGTTTGTTGTTGCTAGTTTTTGAGGAGACATTGCGGTCTTTTTATTATCAATAAAACATGTGTGTTGATGTGCTTTCGGCTCGCGATATTTACGCTCACCGTGGAGGGCGCTAGTGGTGTCACTAGAGCACCTTTTCAGCACTATGACGATTAGCAACGCCACGTGCCCGGAGAGGGCCCGGAGAAGGTCTATCCGGCTTTGCGGATATGCCTCGTCCGTTTTCGTGCGTGTGCCATCGTCATGCATTATTATACTGTATTTTACCGTCTCACACCCCGCCCACCACCATCTGATTTAAAAATTTATATTGTCCCTATTTTTAGTTTTTTATGGTTTTTATTTAATTTTTTTTTAAGTTTAGTAACTAAACTTTAGTTTCGTGAAATTATCGAAAGGGCCTGAGTGGTGGCCTTATTCTGGAAAAGAGAGATAGAGAGTCTAGAAAGATGTTCTTCTCTTTCAGAAAAGGGAAATGGTCGTTTGGAAAAGGGAAAATGGCGATTTTCAGAGAAGTTCAACTTTAGAGGTCTATTACGCAATAATGACTCATCTCTAGAATTTTAAACCCCACCATGCCACAGATTAGACCCTCAGCTAGGTTTGAGTGAAAAGAACAGTTCAAAATTATGACTATACCTTTTCTTGTTCACGAGATGTCTAACAATTTTCGACTCACACTTCAAATCGATGTTAAGCCCGATCGGCTAACATGACCAACTTGTGAATAGTCTCAGTGAAAAGCCCGTTAAATTCTGATCAAAGTTACGTTATTGGCGACTCGCAGAATGAATCCGGAAACTTGTGATCAAGAGATTAATTCAGTTACCCGGAGCGCTCGGCGTTGAATCTGGGGTATTTGCACTGAAAAGAGGAGCTTTAAGCTGCGGGCGACAAGTCTCACACCAAGTAACTGTAGTAATCTCTCGATTACCAGTTTTCGGATATGTTTCGCGTGTTGCCACTAACGTAACTTTGGTCAAAATTCTACGGGCTTTTCGATGAGGCTATTCATAATTTGCCGTTCGGGCTAAACATCGATTTGAAGTTTGAGTCGAATATTTTTAAATTTTTCTTTTCGATTGACAGCATCGATTTTTCACGTAAAAAGAGCTCTTTAAGTCTTGGGTTCTGGCAATCGATGAATCTTTCAAGAATAATTTTCTCATCGGAAGGAGTGATAGTGGTTTTGTTGTAACCTTTCTTGAAGTATGCTTTTAGATTTGCTATACAGACTCCGAATGAATTTGCACCTCTCTGATATTTACTAAACTCATGCTTGTAGAATTCTTTAGTTCGTCCCATTATGCTTATGAGTTTGCTTTTGAATAAGCTCCAGTCATTCAGTTCTTTGTTATCAAGGCTTTAAATTATATTTGCACCTGCCTCACAACTCAGTAGATGAGAAATAGCGATCGTGATATGCTTTGGTTTTGACATATTTGAGCAAGATGAAAAAATTCATTTATTGCGCAGCCAACTCTCAATAGTACTGATGATTGGTATTTTGGTGCTTTGATTTTGTAATCAGAGCAAGAAAGGTCCTTTTTGTATTTCTCGCTCATGCTTTATGCTGACACAAGTGCAAAGATATCATGCGGTTTTATTTTGAAACGCTTCTGCGCAATTTGTTCGCAAGTTTCCGCATAGTCCTTATGTTATTTAATATCCCCGATGTCTTTTCTCTCGAAACAATTTAGTTTTTCGCTTTTTTTCAAAAAATCTTTGTCAAGTGACAAGATATTTAAGACAAGTGATGCCTTGATACAATTTGGTAATGCCTATTGTATTGTATTGATTCTTAGTGATAGAAAGTCGTCCAACTCTTTCAAGCTCACTTTATTGAATAATACTATTTGGATCTTGCACAGGGAGAAGCGCGGGAAAGCAGCTGATTAAGGTGCGCACAGTTGATAAAGAGCGCAAGTGTGCTAATTAATCTAGGTTGCCCGGGCGATTAATTGGAGACTTTATGTCAACACACATCACCCACCACCAGAATTCTAGAGCTGTAGAAGGTTAAGAAATACACAAACACATTGATTGGATAAATTTTGACTGGCACGAGCGGTTAAGTTTTACACCGTAGTATAAGGGTGGACTTTGAGAAACAGATTAGATACAGTAATATTCCAACGTTTTCTTCTCTGAAGAGTTGTTTTGTCGTTGTTTGAAGAATCCTGCATCTTCGGAAAGGCACACACACGCACAATAAAAGAACAAAGAGATTTAAAGGAAAAGTGGGTTGAGTATATGATGTCAAGAGCTATTGATAAAAATGATTATAGTATTGAAGGTTGCAATAATCAAAGCGGAGTACAGGGTTGACCAAGCGATTAAACTTAGCTACTTTATCCAACATATATAAGTTGAACTGTAAAACGCTAGACCTCGCTAATTTCTAATCCTAGTGTCCGATCAGAGCAATTAACCCCCGCCTTTACCAAAAGGCCGCTTATGTGGGTCGGTCAGCGTGGAGTTAGCTTCCGCGATAAAAAGTAAGGAGTATTAAGTGGTATCGAGGAAAGCCCGTTCTGCAACCGTTACGTATACAGAGCCAGACTTGCCGTCAACCAAGTCTCTCCCGCCCCCCTCTTTAATTAAAATCGGACCAAAAAAATATCTTTTTATGACTTGTTAACCAGGCTCTCCAGAGGTAGGACTCGAAGTGGCTTGACTCCACCAAAAAAAAAGAAGTTGGACGTGGGTGTGAACTTAACGGCGCTAGCTTATACAAGTGGTTGAAGATGCCTATTTATCGCTTTGTCGAGTCCGCGTACTCGCCTGCAGAACATGCAAGTGAAGAGAATCAGTATTGAGAGAGTAGAATGAATGAGAATACCATTAGAGATTAGAGATATGGATTTTGAACGAGTGAAGTTGTCGTCGACTACATCCTCCAAGTCATCGAGACGGTCCTCGACGTCATCGGTGAGGTCGTTGTGGTCAAGATGAGCGGCGCTGAAGGTGAAGTTGTTTCTTGCTCCTCTGAAGTCGATCTTGGTGTTGTCAGACGTCACGATGCTTGTTTTTGGGATCTTGATGAGCTGCTGCGATCCAGAACAAAAGACTTCCTGTTCCAAGCTTGTTTCGTGGAAATATTTGAAGCCAGTGAAGGTATCGTGGGCCGATCCGATATCGGACAAGACCGTTCTGTTTCTGAGGATTGCTGTCTCTGCCGCGTAAACGATGAGTCCATTTCTGTCGAAAGCGAAGGAACAGGTTGCTTTTGTAGCCGTTTTCCGGATGTTGCAATTCTAGACATCGCGGAGACATGAAGCGCTTGAGATTGCTGAGTGCCGGCAGATCATGTTTTTGCGAGCGCTTAAACAGCTAAAGCGGTCAACTTTGTAAAACTCGTTCTGGATCAATGTCGCAAACGGGGAAATGTCCGGGGCGATCAGGAGATTCGGTTGAAGGGTCCTTTGAGATGATTCCGAAGGAGTTTGCATGATACAGTCGTGTAGGTGCGGATTCGATGATTGGAAAAGAGAGCTGGATGTGGATGTCGAGAGAGTTTTCAGTGATGTTCAGCCCGTAGAGTTAAGGTTTTAATTTTTGTGGAAATTCTCTCAGCATGTTCTCACAGCATCGCTCGCAGATTTTCGGTTCCAGAGCAATGCATGATCCCCAACACGCAGACGTAAAGAGTCTGTTCCATTCCACACGGCTCGGAATCAAGCCTTTCTCCAAACTGGCGACTTGATAATCCATGTCCTCCATGAATTTGTCGACGGTGATCCGGGCCCAGTCCTCGAATCGAGCTTCCAACATCCGGTTATTGAGTCGGCAAATATCGTTGTCGATTCGCGCTAGCTGGTCCTGAGTTGCATTGAGATTGACCTGGACGGCGCTTTGGAGCTTCGCAAAGTTTCGTGTGAGTTTGTCCAAGTTCTTTCCTTGATGAAGAGATACAGATCGAAGCTTGGCAACAGAGTTCCAAAAAACGCAAAATTCTCGCGTGCGCGTGCGTGCGCGTGCGGAGAAATTTAAAATTTCCCGTGCGCATGCGTGCGCGTGCGGAAACGACTTTCGAACACGCGTGCGCAAAAAGGGTAGAATTGTCGAATTTTAGCTTTTTTAGCCTTTCTAATTAATTAAATCGTTAATTATAACGCGTGCGTGCGCGATCCCAATCTTCGCGTGCGCGTGCGTGCGCTATCCCAATCTTCGCGTGCGCGTGCGTGCGCGTGCGCAACAATTTTCAAAATCCGCGTGCGAGTGCGTGCAAACGTACGCACGCGTGTTTTGGAACTCTGCTTGGCAATGTCGTTCGTATTTTTCAATTTAAGGGACCTTGTCGAGCTGGCTGAAGCGCGACTTCAGGAGCGCTTCATTGATTTTTGATATGAGCTATTTTCGAAACTCTTTCTGCAAACATTATCTACAGACACTCTTCTTTTTATTGCAGCTCTAAGTTTTTCTCTATCATTCTTAATTCAGTCGGTATCGTCGAAAAGAGAAGTTCAACTTCAAAAGGATTCAGCACTTTCAATTTTGAAGATATGGAATTATAATTACATTCACCGGAAAGCCCAGAAAATTCTGTACAAAAGTTACCTAAAGGGGTCTTATGAAAATCATTGATGTAGTGGTAAGAATCTGTAATCCATAGTTATTAGCGTGCGCTTTGCGGAAATCAAGCGCAAACAAGCCAAAATATTGCCTCGCGCAGCGCGAACGCCCGCTGTGGAACCGATACACTCCGGAAAAGCTCACCTTGCACACGGCAGGTTATTGTTATCATAACCGGTTGAATCTTCCAACCTTTCGGTATCCCGAATGTTTCGGGATTTCCCGAAACATTCGCAGTGAAAAAGGGCCTTTTTGTCTTCGAACCTTTCGGGGATGATTTTTGAATGATTTCTGTCCGAGAAAATATCTAAAGCAAAATAGTAACGTCTAAGTACATCTTTATTGAAGCAAATGAAGGCACGAAGGAAAAAATAATTTACACGAATAATTGGATTTATAACTCATGAAGTTCTCTATAAGACAGGCGCGGAGCGCACACATTCTCTTTGACTGCAAATTCACAATTGAAACAATGTTTGGCCTTCTTAGACCATCGAATTTGACGAAAGCAGCTAGAGTTCTCTTTTTGATAAGTAAAATGCCCGAATTCGGCATTTATACCACTTTTTCATAACGTAATCCTCAACGAAATTTCCGAATGATTCGGGAGTAATCCCGAAAGATTCGGGAAATCCCGAAACATTCGGGATCCCGAAAGGTTGGAAGTGACGACCATCATAACCCCATTAGGTAACTTTTGTACAGAATTTTCTGCGCTTTCCGGTGAATGTAATTATAATTCCATATCTTCAAAATTAAAGTGCTGATTCCTTTTGAAGTTGAACTTGTCTTTTCGACGATAGCTAGGGACCGAACGCAAATCGGACCAAAATTTAGTTCTGAGAGTTATGAATGAAAAAAGGGGTATTGAAACCAGAGAAATTGAACTGTGTTCTCAATTTTTCCCAATCCCTTCCGTTTCCGAGATATTGACCTTTGGAAAGAATTAAAATTTCAGGAACGAACCACTTTCAAGCGCGCAGTCTTACTCTGATGGTGGCGCTCCGGGGCGAGAAGGTTTTGCCGCGACGCGTTTCGAGTTTTCACTGCGAGCGAGCCTGCGCTTCCACCAATAAAAAATTAATTAAGAGTGCCCAGGCAGGATTCGAACCCGCTCTACAGAGGTTACCCGACCCTATCTTGTGCCAACTAGGCCATTCGTTCTTAGACACTCAACCCATTTTGCATGGGTATAAATTTAGTTTCAGGGGGTCGACGAGAATCGGGATTTTTCGGACAAAATTCCGGAAAAACCTGATTGGTTGGAAAAATTTTGTCTTTTTAAGGGAGAAGAAAAGGGTTTGAAAAATCTATCGGCGAAGAGAAGAAAAATTTTTGACCAGAAAAAATGGTCGAAAACTTGTCTCAAAGTGGACCCCAAATTACCATTTTGGCAATTTTCTGATATTTTCGTGATTTTTCTTCTGCCACTTTTGGTAAAGAAGTGCACGAAATTTCTGCGAAGACTCGCGAAACTCTTTGCCGATAGATTCTTAATACCCTTCTTTTACCAACTGAGAAGTCAAAATATAATTACATAATCAGATTTTTCGGGAAATTTGTCCGAAAAATTCTTATTCACGTCGACCTCCCCCTTAATTTCTCTTGACCAAAGAAGCGAGAAAACCTGATTGAATAGATAAAAATCAAACTGCTAGGGGGAAGGAAAAGGGTTAAAAATTCTACGGGCACAAACGAGAAAAAAAGTTGGTCAGCCTTGATTATTAAATTTCGGCCGTCTCAGCCCCGTTCCTTGATTATTAAATTTAAGGGGCTTGAGATCGGCGGCGGTCTCTGAGGTGATCAATCTCAGTTATGTCCCCAACCCCACCCACACCCTTTTAGGGAGAAAATATAAATAATTCAAATTTTACGCTTTCTTATGGTTTATATATACATGTTTTTTTTTTAATTTTAATTTCTTTATTTGCGGATTTATTATCTTGCTTTAATTTTTTACGAGTCGAAAAAATCATTCTTGAGTTTTAAAAATGGTCGGCTAGGTTTTACTAGGCCTAATTTTGCAAAAATAAAAAAATCGATTTTTTTGACCCCGATTTTTTTGAAACAAAGAGGTTTCCATATAAGTTTATAAATAAAGTTTCTCAGGATAACGTACATGTATGTGGCGCATCGGTAGCGTCATGGATCGGCATGCTGGCGCTCCGGGTTCGAAACCCGCCGCCTCGTTTTTTCTCGCGCCATGATGATGAGTCATTTTCACTCTTGAAACCTTCAAAAGGCTTGCGCACCCAGGGACCCCTACAAACCTGTACAAATTTTTCAATTTTAGAAATGGTTTTTATTTTATCTTTCGATTTTTTGGGGACTAAAATTGCGCATCAACTCTAGCACCCTCAAAACGACCAAATTGTGAAAACAGCTGTGATTTCTCGGTCTTCCGGACATTTTTCGGGGTGGCTGTAATGGAAGAAAATGTTCGCCGTAGTCGATTTACTATTGTAAATTTTCATTTCAAGCAATTTAAAATTTTGACCCCCGATTTGCGTTCGGTCCCTAACGATAGCGACTGAATTTAGAATGATAAAGAAAAACTAAGAGCTGCAATAAAAAGAAGAGTGTCTGTAGATAATGTTTGCAGAAAGAATTTCGAAAAAGCTCATATCAAAAATCAATGAAGCGCCCCTGAAGTCGCGCTTCAGCCAGCTCGATAAGGTCCCTTAAGACCCAGGTTCGCTGCTGCCAGAACAAGAGCGGGAGCGCCGGCGAATCTTTTCCCCAGATGCGATTCATGAGATCTGGCATATGCTGCTTGTGCTTTCAGCGACTGCAGTTACAATCGGAATTATCGCTCGATCACATCCAGTAGGGCAAAAGTTCGTTTATTAGCGAGGTTTTCCGTGCATTCTCTCCTGTCCCAACGGTTGGCTTTGTAGTGTTTGATGCAGCGGTCGACGTCGCATTGTCTCTGGTCGACTTCAGGTTCCATTTTCAGGACGTCCAGCGGAAGGGGCCGACTGATGATGATATGATGATGCTGTTCGCTTGACATTTTCGGGGAGAAATTCTGCTATGACTGACTGCTAATGATGTAAGAAGAGTCATGACTTCTTCTTGGAATTCAGGGCCACTGTCTAGAATCATGTGGCAATTCCCAATCGCGCCTGCTTCATAGATGAGTTCAGTGAGAGCGGGGCAGATATGGGGTGCTTTGAGTGACCGGACATGTCTTGCTGTTAGCCGACGGCTAAATCCGTCTAGGAATGTTAAAAATAAAATTTCTTTCCTTCGCAGACATAGTGCATCGTGTCAGCATAAACAGCCGAGTATGGACGTAATGTCGGCTCGAGCTTCTGCTTGACGTCCGCAGTCTTGTAGCGACGGTGAATATGATTGCATCTGAGGCAACTTTTAACACATGCTTTGACATGTTTTCCCTTTTGCTTAAAAAGAAAATGTTCATTCTTATTAAGGTGCTGGAGCAGGGGTTTTTCTCCGATGTGAAACAGAGCTTGATGAAAATAATTGATGATGTCTATGGTAAGGCTTTCCGGAATAACAACAAGTTTTTTGTTACGGACCTTCTTATAGACAAGATCATTGAGCAAAAAATAATCGTTGTTTTTAGACTTGTTTTGCTCAATATTTTCTCGAATCCCAGATATTTCAGTGCACTTTTTCTGGGCATCGATGATCGCTCTGACATCGACCTTTGGTCTTGGAATCTGAAGCTTTAAGTTGTTCAGATGGTCACTCGATGAATTCTCTTTGGTCCTCTTTGGACAGAGAATTGAGGGATGGAAAACAGCTTTGTGGTCAATTTCAAAGATTGGATGTCGTGACAGATTATCACAAGTTTTAATGATATCACTCGTGTTAGGTAGGTAGATAACTCTAGCACGAGAAAATTCCATGACAGAGCTGTAAGCTCGTCTTGCTCTTGTCCCGCTGCTTGGTTTAAGACTTGGTTTGCAGTGGAGATCTTCAAGTGACTTATGGTCAACTATGAAGATGAGCCTAGCATCCTTCGGAAGAAGGTCTTTGAATGAGTTGATGCCATGCATAAGGCCCGCAAGTTCCCTTGCCCTTGCGGACAAGAATGTCTCGGGTTCTTCAAGAGCTTTTGACGAATATCCACAAACGCGAACGTTGCTGATTTCGTCATTGTCCAGCGTAAGGTTGCCAATAATTGCACCTGTCTGGAATTGACTTGTGTCCGAGGCGACGAAAATGTGTTCATTTTCTTGCTCATCTGAAGGATAAACGAGATGACACACACCGATTCCGTTCTTGATGTGTGATTTAAGAATTTCGATATTGTCCTTCATGACTTCGGTCAGTTTAAATTGTCGCCCTTGAGAAATTGCCTTTGCAATTGGGGAGAGAAGTGCGGATAGTTTTGGGATGAGTCTACAATAATAATTAAGACATCCATTAAAACTCATCGCTTGTTTGGCTGTTTCTTGATTTTTCAAATTCAGAAGCGCCTCGACTTTGGCTTCTGGAGCTTTTATCCCTGACTCATCGATAACAAACCCGAGAATTTTCACGGATTTCTTAAAAATTCGCATTTCGCCAGGGAATCTACGACGTTGAAGTCCTTTATTCTCCTAAATATAGTTTCCAAAGTGCGAAGATGATTTCTTTCTGTCGAAACTACCAAGAAATCATCCTGATAATTGAAACAGAAGAAACTTTCCTCGTTACCTTCAATCTCGTACAAAATTTTATTTGCTGAAGCTTGAAAGGTGGAGGGCGCTGATGCCAACCCTTGGCACATCTTTCGATATTGGAGCTGTTTGTCTCCAAAGATAAAGGCTGTATACTCTCGATGCTTTTCACGAATCGCAAGAGTATAGAAAGCATTTGCCAAATCAAGGTTGCAAAATATAATTTTATCCTCGGGAAATCTTTCTTTCAGCTTTGTGATGGCCGTTGACAATTTTGCCAAAAGGGTTCGAACGGGAAGAGTGGGGAATCTTGGAAGGATCAATCTCGAGTTAATCGAATTTTCACCTCCCGCAGAATAATTATTCACTACTCTTAATTTCCCTGATTTCTTTACCACCGTCAGTAAAGGGCTGTTAAACCCACTAACGGTTGGTTCAAGAATTCCACTTTCTACCATTTCCTTGAGCTTCTCTTCCACTGGCTCAATTTTGTGGGCATCAATCGGATAAAGCCGATGATAGACAGGAGTTATGTCTTTGAGCTTTATCTCACATAGATAATGCTTGGACAGACCTGTGTCTGATGCCGACCTTGACCAGTTCCAGCTATATTGGTCAAGGAGTTGGCGGAGACCTTTAACGTATTGAATCGGCGCGGTATTTGCGACCATTTCAATGTCGGAACTCATATCTATGTCCGCGACTAGAAGGTCTCGCCGCTTTTTCCATTTAGCAAACTCACTTTCATGAGTTTTTCTTTCACGCAGTGGTAAATCAGCTTTCTTTACCAAAAATTTAAGACCTGCTGAGGCATTTCCTCAGCTAAATCTGCAATAGCAGCTCTCTTTTAATAGCAACTGTATGATCATTATGGTTGCTGACCGACAATTGATCATGATTGCCGGTTAAAGTATATGTCTGTAGCGCCAAATTTCTTTCAATGAGCCCTTCGGACCCGATAAGATTTAACTCTAACGGCGCTTTATGTGTTTCGGTTCTAACTACTCGAATAAATTTGGTTTCATTTGGCCCAATAAAGCTAGTTTCCCTAGCCACTAGCGCAGACTTTTCCGTTCGTTTAACGACCTCTTCAACCTCCTCATTAAGGCACTCAATTTTCATTCGATTTAGAAGGAGAGGACTGTTTGTCGGTCCATTGAGGTTCAATTTAAAACGTTTTAAGACGTTGTATCCGAGAACAGCATTAAAATCGATTCGATTCTGCTTCGGAATGACCAACATCTCAACATCCGGAATAATTTTATTGTCAATTTTGATAGAACATGACAATTTCTCCGTTATACTACACATGCTGCTCCCGAAGGCGTTGGTGAGTGCAACCGAAACCTTTGAAGTTTTAAAATTGGTTGGGACCATGTTCTTACGGATAAAGCTCGAACTGGCCCCAGTGTCCAATAACACGTTCTTGACCTCATAAGTGAGAATGTGGTCGTTGTCGTACTGGACGATTTCAATTTCGGAAACAGGCAGATCATGTCCCATGGCTTTTTATGGGAATTCAAAATAACAAAACGTAAAAATATTTACAGGAAAAATATTGGCAGAAAAAAATTTTTTAAAAAACGAGAGAAAGAAAAGAAACGCGAAAAGATCATGAATGATGATCATTTTACGGCTAAAAAACACTAGGGCACTCGTTGGCATAGTGGGCCTTACCCCACATTTCTTACAAACAACGTGAGCCTTTGATTTTTGTTACCTTTATCGCCGTCTTTCTTTTTATTTCCGCCTTTTTCATCTTTTCCTTGATTTTTGTTTTTGTCCCCGTTATTTTTGGTATCACTTCTTTTATTATACCATTTTTTCCCCTTATTCCCTTTATTATTTCCTCCACTACCCTTTTTCTTGCCAGAATTATGACTTTGATTTTTACCGTAGGCATTCAGCGATTCCTTCTCGGAGTCTGCTGATTTGCCATTACCTTTTATGGGAAATCTGGTTCAGATCTGCTGGCGCTATAGCCGTAGCATACAAATCGTCGAGGAGAGAGATCTGCTCATCTCTGGATCGATTGGCAGCCGTTCTAAACATAGCTTCCTTTGTCAGGTAATTCGGCAATTTGCCTTTAAAAGCTTCCCATGCCAAGGCTTCGATGACCTCATTAGGCTTTTCTGAATGAGCTTCTTCAGTTAAGCTTCTGACCTGTTGAAAGAAAGACCTCATATCGGTCGGCTTTCCGAATTTAAGGTCATTAAGGTTTTTCAGGGCGACCGCTTTGTTTTTCCTATACCTCTTTTTCAGAAGGTCAAGGAATTTCTCGAAATTCCTCTGGTCTTTTCGGGCAAATTAGCAAAATCAGTATTGAGAGAAATTTGGTCGGCAGCAGGTAACGCCTTTATTAAACTTTCGATCTCCAGATTAAGATCGGTCACCCCTTGCCGTTCCAATTGATTAGTGGCAAGTTTTATCCAATTGAGGATGGGGAGTGATCTGTTATATTGGCAAATTGTCACCTTGGTTGGTTTTGACAATGAGAAAAAGTTCATATCATATAAGGTCGCTTTTTGGAGCGATTCTTCCTTATTTTTGCGCTCCTTCGCAAGAAGATCCTCTTCGATCTTAATATCATCGAAATTAAATGCTTCCGAATTTTCCTCCATGTCTAGAAGGGCTTTAAAGCTCGGAGTTTTCTCGGCGAGTTTATGCGCGGTATCGAGAGTTTTGAAAGATTCCAATAAGGGTGAGTTGACGCTAACGATGGTTTGAAGGCCTTCTTCAGATAAACTATTGAAGCTGTAAATAAGGCGATTATAACCAACGACTTGCTTCGAACAACTCTCCCAGAATTGCAAGGGATAAAGATAATATCCTCCGTTCTCGCTTAGAATTTGGACGTGAACGTAATTAATGGGCTTTTTGAGTATTTGATTAAGAAGCGTTGTTTTGTCAGAATTATTATCCTGTTTAAAAAGCAAAATAGTCCACGCTCGGAGGCAATTAATTTTAATGCTCGAATTTACTCTAATAAAGTGACTTTTTGTTAAATCCAAATTATTAATTCCCATTCCTAAATGTCCATTGTAATCGTGCAGGTGATCGATGAAATTTCAAAGAATCAACTGAATCCTTAGTTACCAAAAGAGGAAACCACTCAGACAACGATAGAGAAAAATAAATTTCTGACGCTTCAGCAAAATTCAAAACCGCTCCGACAAGCTACGAAATTGCTCGTTAGGCGGCGCTTATTCGCAAAAGGGGCGCTGGATTTTGGGTAAATCGAAATCTCGCTAGACTGGTTTTCGCTCTCAAGCGGACCAATCAGCGCGCTCCAACGCGCTCGCTGCCACTTTTCTCTCGCGCCGCTTGGCGGCGCGCTTCTCTAAAACCGGTTCTCAATATTAGAGCTACCGTTCGAATAACTCGTTACAAAGAAAATAAACTCACTTTAAGGGATCCCCCGATTTTTCAAGTCTTTATGACGGGTGTCTATGCGGCATTTTAAGAATCCCCGTGTTCTGAGGATCATTTTGATATATTATATGTCCCCCTTACGATCATCTTTACCCAAAATTTTGACCCTCGAAAATCGTAAAAATGCATGTTATTTGTACTTAGCGTGAAAATCGCAATTATTTTTGACTTTTCGATGTCATCGAAAATAAACGTGTAAGGGGTCTTTCGAACGCTTACAGCGCACTGACTAAGAATCTGATAACCGCATTCGGATTTACGGCCATATATCGGCGCTAGAGAGCAATTTTGAGCCAGAAAAGGGCCAAAATGGCATCAAAAAAATTTTCTTAAGAAAAAATTTTTCTTACTTGACCAAACGATTTCTCTGTACTAGAGATTGTAGATAAAGGATCAAGAAAGATAATAAAAATTGATTTAGGGCTCTATATAAGAGCAAAAAAAACTAGTTCGACTTTGAAAAAGGCCCAAAACGGGGGTTTTCGCGAGTATCTATGTATTCAGCCCGCTTTTTCGAGGTGTTTCCCCTTATGAAAATTTTTTCCTGTACTAGAGTTTGTTCACTGAGAAACGGGCTTCAAAATGAGCTATCAACCATTTAAAAAGCTAAGCCCAGAAAAAGTAGTTCGACGTCAAAATTGGCGAAATCGGGGGATCCCTTAAGCCTACCGGGGTACTGACTATTTTATTCTACCCTTCGGCTAACCAGAGCTTTGAGACCCGCGAAGAAGTTCTCCGTTTTTGGCTTGATTTTTAAACTTCGCTTCCAAAAACTTTTGGAAACGGATTTCGCGCTGGCCGTCCGCTGTTTGGGGAAATGGAATAGGTTCTAATTAGCTATTTAAAATCACTCCGTGAATTTAATAGCTCTCCAATTAAGGGGGACACCTTTTATTTCTGAGAAAAGCTCCTTGACAAAGGCAAGGAAAATAATAGTTTTTCAGAAAATTTTTCGCCTTTTTTACGTTAATTTGATTGAAAAACTTACGCAGTCCATAGCAGGTGGCGGCGGCGGCTTGTTCTTCTTCTTCTTCGGGGGAGTTCTGTCTTCTTCACCAGTATAAAACTGGAAGATGCTCTGCCGAATTGCCTGCTTCTCTTGCTAATAAATACAAGTCCAAAGGTTTTGACAATGAGAAAAAGTTCATATCATATAAGGTCGCTTTTTGGAGCGATTCTTCCTTATTTTTGCGCTCCTTCGCAAGAAGATCCTCTTCGATCTTAAT